GATAGAAAGGACTTAAAGTCTTCCCTCGTTTAACTTACATATTACCAGTAACCGAACATTCGCATTGTATTTTCAAGAATTATTATGCAGCTGCCAACCCTGCAGAGCTGCTGAAATCTCAAATATTTTAATTTTTACGGGATATGTAGGGTTTCAAACTATGAAACCGCAACAAAATTTCAAAATGGAAGCTCATGCAAACTACGATTACTGGGAACGTGCATTAAGTCCATAATTTTGCATAAAATGAGTATTTTATCAAATAAGTGTACTGAAGAGCACCCATTGGTGAACGCGATTCTATAAGATAGTATATTCGTCAGAAGATGTGATCGCTCCGCACTTGGTTTAAAACCGTTACCGTCAACTAGGTGTCCAATAGATTCAAAATCAAATACATAAAATGGACACTTATCCGGACCCGCCGTAATATTCTTCTCAATTAAACAACGCACTAAAGCCATAAGTCTCTGGTCATGAACTACCTTATCAGAACCATGAACAATGAGATCATCTTGATAAATTTCAACACCTTCAAGTTCACTGACTACCTTACTCATCAACTACTGATTTTGGGGATTTATTTACCTATGCGCACCAAAACTGGTACAAGTGAAGATTGTTTGTACCCAAAACACGACAAACACAAACGATGTATACAATGGCTTATCCATTTTGAATATTAGGTAGAATGAAATCACATATTTAAGAAAATTCCCAGAGTTATGACAAGCCACATACTGCATATCATGCTGAGCATAGTTCATAGTATATCGTGTCTTGAATTAATATCACACTCAAATAAATTAATGTTATGCTAAATAAAATATCACACTGACAAACAAACAAATATCCTCTGAATGAACATCATATGAAATTAAAATACGGGAACGATGTTGAACGAACATCACACTAAGTAAGAAAGATGCGATTTCGCATCATTCATTTATATCACTTAGAAAGACTGGAGCATCCTGTACTTAGTTTTATAGGCTAAATTCTAATCTATCCACTGTTTTTATTGCACATAGCTATCAAACCTTTAAGTAAAGCACCAAAATCTTCTGAAGAAGCTAATGAAGGCAACGTAACTTAAGCCTTTTCAAATTCTTTGATCCCAGTACTGACATTGTTTCACTAAACAGACCTACAAATCATGTATGAGGAATTACAATCAATAACAAACTATTTGAATGAATAGATTCTGTGCTCCCTGTGTCGGCACAAAGGTCATGAAACAAACGAAGAGAGATATATGACCACCTATAGATGTGGGAAATGCCCTTCGAAATTTCAGATCGTTAGAAACACTTAACTTTATAAAATCCTAATTACAGGGTTCGTTATCTGTGATAATTAGGAATATTTGAATTATAGTACAAACTGGGAATCCTAGAAAAAACACAACTTAAGTACGAAGGAATCATCAGTCAGCAAAAACACCACAACCGGGAAACAGATAGGTTTCACTGTCATTCCGAAGTTTCATTATCGTTTTCCGTTGAACCAGGAACCTGGAGGAGCATTTTAAGTTTGCTCTCCATCGGATGGTTCGAAAAACTAGTCCCACGAAACTCTATGTAGTATTGACACTAGGCTTCGCTAGCGTCACCTAGCGCACTAGTGTAGCGAGTACAAAGTAACTGGATCCTTAAAAACAATTGTTCATTTTCCTAGGTCAAATGATCTAAACAATGTGAAAAGAAACTGACTTTGTCAGTAACGTCCTTTAGCGAACTCCATTTATTAGCATTCTGGTGACAGCTACAATGCCATAAGTGATTTGTTTTGACTTTCAGTGGATGACCTCATTGAAAAGAATTCGTGAAATATAGTGATGCTACTTGGAGCCCTAAGTTCTCAGGATGAACGTCCATGTAATGATGATTACCGACTGGATGGCCAGTGAAGAAACAAAATCCAAACAGTAAGGAAAACTTTTAGAGAATTTGTTATAAAATATCTTCATATATACATCAATATATGCATTAGATTACCCAAGTGTTCTCAAGGCTTTTACCTTTCGTAGGACATCAATCATGTTGCTGATAGTGGTGTGGCATTTGTTAAATGTAACCTGTGCATGGTCAGAGAGTTTACTTTCCACAACTGATCGATACAAACAAAACAGACTGTCAATAAATGTCAAGTCAAGCTGCGTTTGAGGCTAACTACAAAATCAATCTCTCCAGGTCTTGACTGGATCACATCCTCACCCCTTATTAAATTCTGTAACACAGGGATACTCATAAAACACAAGTTGAGTTTCTTGATATCAAGAAAAGACCGTATTCTGAGAGTTTGTTGAGGACAGCTAGAGCCAAGCTTACCATTGAAAACGAGAGGAGCCATACACAAACCTCCCTTCAACTGTTCCAGTTCACCTGTTCAGTCGAAAAAGGAGACAAATTTTATTACTCTTTCGACTCCTCCAACGAGGTCGATCTGCAAACAGGCCTGAGGTAGTTGTATGAATGGTACTAGTAGAACGAATCTGAGTAAGTATTTATCGGAAACTAGTACTCGTATAGAAAGCAAGCAATTTCCTGCTTCCAAAAGTTTAGTACTGCTTGAACAATAGGAGGATTCTCCGAAAATACTCCTTATGGGAAACAGTTGGAAGTAACTGAAATATCTGTACTCTTGCCAGATTTGGTGATGGGGTACAACATCAATCAACTCACAGGAGGGATAATGAATTATGTCAACCCGAGCAGTTGCTAGTGCCTTCGTGATGTTAGTCTGGTTGTGAAAATTTATATATATAACACAAAATATGACAGTTACAAACAAAAAGCAATGTATCTTGTATTTTTTTAAGATTTATTATTATTTAAACACATAAATATTGGTACAAGAGAGTGCCAATATATATGCGCCACACAAAACAATGAAAATTCAAAGAGAGATAGAAAAAAAAACTAAGAAGCGCAAAAGAAGAAGAGAACGATAACGAAGAGGTTGGTGTAAGGTAGTGTGGTAGTAACGAGGAAACGGAATGCAAGACGTGGAATTCTCTGCTGCTTCTAGCTCATTAGCACGCTTCGACCACCAGGCTTCTCGGTCCTTACGCAAGCTTTACCCAATTTCCTTACGTAACATCCTTCGTTTATGGTCAAACTCACGGTCACTCGGAGTAGACCGACGGGCTTCAATAAGTTGTAAGGAACCAGAAGAAACCCAGTGCTCATAAGCGGGACGTTTCGTGAACCCACAACTGACTGTTCCCGCCATTTTCACGGCATCATGCAATTGCAACCAATGCTCATCTATACCCTTCGGTGGAGTGGTAGCTAGCCTAGAGGCTAGCTCGGTTCGATACTTATTTGCAACAGAAGTTGCAACCAGCTTGCTAATATCAATCGTTTGATGACGGTCACTTCGTTGTCCACTGAAAAGTAAGGCAAGATTGGCGCAGACCAAGTCATGGTCAGAGTCCAGATAGGTACTCCAAAAGGAGCGGCAGTCTTTTACACAACCACGCCAGCGGCAGCTGATCGCGATGTGATAAATCTTAGTCCAGGCTTGGGATGCAGAGGGAGGACGCCAGGTGGCACATCGGCGATGACTGTGCCGAAAGTTAGTGCTAGCCAGAAACAGGTTGTGGTCTGTGCAAAGTTGCAGTAGACGGTCCCCGTTATCTGTCCTGCAACCAACGAGTCCCCATCGGCCACCTAAACGACTCTCTTTCGTGCCTAGACGCCCGACCTGAGCATTCAAGTCTCCGGCTAGTACTAAAATATCTGTCGAAAGCACTTTCTGGAGAAGAAAAGATAACTGGTGGTAAAACTCATCCTTGATTGCATCCGGGCTGCAATCTGTCGGGGCATAGGCGGAGATGACGAAAAGACATCGTTTCTCACGCCGAATTCTTCTCACTTTGATGGAACTTTCTAATCTAACAGCACATAACCGACTGTTAATGGGGATCCAATCGACTAGTGCTGCCTCAGCTCTAGCGCTTAGTGCGACACCAACAACAGCAAGACCAGACGAAGATGCCACAGGGTCCCCGGATAAGCGCACGTAAAACAAGCTTTTCGAAGCGACAGATGGAGATCGAATTTGTAGTACTTCGCCAGAGTCTTGAATACGGGTCTCGAATAGACAACAAACATCAATATTAAGACTTTCCAAAGACACAGCCAACCCTATCTGTTGTCCGACCTGCACTAGTGTGCGAACGTTGAAGGCAGCCAGTTTGAATGGTGCACGTGGTTTCAGAAAAACTGCTTCAGTTCTCGTATTCGGTGGTAACATACAATTTTTAACCGGACAGTGACTCGAGAACGTTAAGATACAGTCGAATTTCCACCAAAGACAAGCGGCTGTATAAGTATAAAAGAGGATGAATAATGTGGAAAATAACAATAATAATGACAATAATGGTAATAATAATATGATTATTATTAATGAAAATAATTGTAATGATAATAATTTGAACGAATTTGTTTTTCGAAGCGAGAAAAGTAATTTCCATAGACATGAATAGTTCATCATTCGTGTGTGGGCTGTGATAAACACTTCTCGTGCTCACCCACTGATCGTATGACCCCTACGGCTTTCATCACTGCAGTAAGATTTCTAAGTTTGCATGACACATACCTGGTCCACGTTTTACAATAGTAAACGCACTCTAAATAAAAATAACATACCTTAAAAGCGAGTCACTAAATTAAGAAATTAAAAATATCATGTGATCGATTAACAACACGGTTGGACATCTGTTTCATAAAGACTAGGTTATTAGCCGATCTGTATGATTGCATCGTCTGTGTATTAACACCAATAAGTAGTACGAATCCTGCTCAAATGGCAATACAGATGTTCAAACGATTACATATAGTCAATGAATAACATACACCACGTAAAAACACACTGAAATTATATGCATCGGCCGGAATGAACTCTTAATATGAGGATGAATCTTACTGAAACCAATTAGATAAACTCATAAAATCCTATGATAACACGTGAGGTACCAAAGGAAAACGCAGTAATAAGTAAGAAAAATCACTATTAGCAGAGGAATCACGTGAAGAAAATATTGTGGTTCAGACTGCGAAATAGTAAAACTAGTCAATAACATTCTGTTTACATTCCTGAGAAACGTAAAATTGGCCTGAGGATCATTTAGACCACCTGACTACCTTCCTTTCGTAAACGAATTGATTAATTGGTTCCTTTGATCCAATAGGTAAAGTGGCCAAGTAAAAAGGTGTATCAGAACCTAAAGTAATAAACACAACGAAAACTTAATATTAGTCAAGTGCAAATCACTGATAAATGAAATTCCTCAAATCACACAAACAAGATAATGACCAAAAGAATCTTAAGAGGTATACTGTTATCCTTCATCATACTTGGAAATATTCTGAAAAATATTTCCCGATAGAAGATATGGGAAGATGCATGAGTTACAATTTCGGAACTTGCGCAACTGACAGCTAATTTCAATATGAAGTGTCTTAGCTAGATTATATTGTGAAAGAAAGAGGTCGGTAAAAGAAAGTATACGAATCCATAGAATGTTGAGTAGTTCTGTGATCCACAGTACAGAAAACTAAATATTTTATGAATATGAATACACAAATGTTTGTATGTGTGCATCGACAGTTTTCTAACTGACCTTTTTAATGATTGATTTATTAACGAAATCATTGATACATATAGGAAATGTGTTAACCACTTACCGAGACAGGTGGCTGGAGAGAGATTTACACGTCGATCCTATTGCTAGAGAAACGATATTAATTTTATATCTCTTATGTAATTCAAACTGACTACACGCAGATATTAGTAACCTTTAATTTAATTACTTGAACGAGTTTAATTATTGTGAAAAAAGGTTAGCTAATTAATCTTCGTGTCTCCGACCACTATTCACCTAAACCCTCCTCCCATCAATCAAGGCGTCGTTTTATCCTGTCAATTAAATGCTCATTATAATACTCATAAAAAGGGAGGATACGGTTGAGAAATTGCTGGGTAGACCCAGAAAATACCCAGACAGTGAAAGCTATGCCTAGACCGACGGATGTCTTCGCACTACGATTCTTTATTGGATCTATTATGGTGCATTTATTCCTAACCTTCATCACTTACGTGCCACGTTAAATAAAACCCTGTCGAAGAATATAAAATTGAATTGGCCGAAAAGTTTTCAAGGTTCTTTTGAGAAAAATTAAGAAACTACTAGTCTCGGGTCTGTTGCTCGTCCAATACGATACATCCTCACCAATTGCGGTAGCATCAAACGCTTCGGACTACGACAATGGGGCAATTATTTTTCACATCATGCCCGATAGACCTGAGAAAGTAATATCACATGCAGCTATGTCGTCAAATACAACTACAACAGAACGTAACTGCAGCTAGATAGAGAAGGAAGTATTGTCAATTATCTTCGCCATAAAGTTTCACAAGATGACATTTGGACGTCAGTTCATGCTCTTAACTGATCATAAGCCATTACTGACCACATTTGGATCGAAAAAAAGGGATTCCGGTATATGAAGCAAACAGACTGCAACGATAAGAAACCACACTCTTGAGTTATGACTTCAAGTACCAGCCCACTACTGATTTTGGACAGGCTGACGCTTTGTCTAGACTGATTGGTTCACTAGTAAAACACGAAGATACTTTTGTGGCAGCAACTGAGATGGAAACAGAAGTACACTGAGTATTGTAAGACGCAGTCGATGGTTTACCAGTTACTTCCAAAGCTATCAAAGAAGCCACGGATGATGACAAGACATTAAGAGAAGTTAGGGGTTATCTCCTCACCAAGTAGCCAAACAGTCGTTTTCAAGGAGAACTGCTACGGTATTTTCGCCGGCGGGACACATTCATGATTTTTGACTCGTTTATTATGTCTGCTGACGAAATGGTCGTCCAAAAAACGTCGATTCCACAATGTACATTCCGGCATCAACAAGATGAAACTATTGGCTCGAAGATTTGCTTACTGATCTACAGTGGCTCAAGATATCGAATACCACGATTGTTCATTTCACCTGCAAGCAACCAAAAGTCCAAATAAATGTGAACTACAGCAAAAAAAGTGCAGTAGTCCCTGAGAGAGGCTACATGCAGATCTTGTCAGCCCAGTAGGAGGAAAATTGTTTTTAGTCATAGCAGATGTACATACGAAATAACCACAAATCTATACTATGGTAAATTACACAGCCAATAAAACGATCAGCAAATTATCTGAATCGCTTAACTGTCTTGGAGTTCCGAAAACTTTGGTAACTGACAACGACTCACAATTCACCTCAGAATCATTCAAGTACTTCTGCAGCATTAGCGGAATTACACATATACACTCTCCAGCTTATCACCTTCAATCAAATGGACAGGCAGAAAGCTTTGTCGATACATTCAAAAGAGCATTACTGATAGAGAGACGAGGGGACAATTCAGGTAATTGCAAATTTTTTAACAGCTTACAGAACTAGGCCCAACCCTATTGTCCCAGATGGAAAGTCTCCTGATGAAGCTGTGTTCGAAAGAAGTATTCGAATCCTATTCGACGCCATTTCGCCACCTAATCAGTTGACGGATGCAAGTTACATAAGAACATCCGAAGTTTTAATGTGGGTACCAATATTTATGTGTTCAAATAATAATAATAAATAAATGTGGGTGATACAATGGTCATCAAGTCATACCTTGTAAAAAAATAGATGGGAACTTGTAGTCATTGGAAAAAGAATGGGTAATGTTTTGTACAAAGTGCGTTGGGACAATTGGAAGGTGGATGAGATACATCAACCAAATCCACAGAGAAAAAAGGACGCTGAACACTGTAGACAGACGAGTGAGTCATCCAATGGAGATACTTGCAGATAACCTAATGACAGGAACGCCCAGGGACATTCGTAGTTAGAGGACACCAAGGAAACCGGAACGCCGCTGGAAACCAGTTATCAAGCTGCAATTAGACCCTAATACGTTTAATTTTTGAAAGGAGGAAGGTGTTGGGGAGATTCAGGATATTCCTCGAAAAATATCTAAAGGAGCCCTGGAAACGCTAGCAAGCACTTTATTCAATCAGCACCGAATAGAAGCATTTCAGAAACATCTAGAAAGTGAAGAGTCACATATCACATTTCTGATTGGATGATTAACTATCCTGCTACTACGTTTGGTAGGGTTCGATAATCTCCAGAAGCACAGGGCTATCTGAAATGCTATCAATATTTTCAATTTTCTGTACATAAACTAAATTTGAAGTAAAGCGTTCTTTACATGGCTTGCGCTTTTTCTCTTGTGTTCAAGTGGTCGTGTACATTTAGCTTAGGGGTTACTAGAAGAGTTTGGAAAACCGATCCAAGCATTCAATCAAAAGATTCATCAGGAATATCAGTTTTACTCAGCGTAGTTGCCACCCTCTGCGACCAACAACTGGAGACATAAATTTCCATCTCAAAGTTAAGTTTTATCCGTTCGTCTAGAGATCCTGTTGGTAATGTTCGTGAATCCTAAATATTTTTTGGCTGATAGAAGGCTTCTATGCAGTATCCAGATGGTCAATGAGTCATTATCACGAATGGCTGCATAGCACTTATGAGAAAGGCCACCAATTTTATCGCTTGACAGCCAAACAGAAGAATATGAACCATTCTTTATTGATCTTCGAACATGCAGCTTTTGTTGTCATCGATTTTGTATGTGAAAGTCACGTAAATAAAATAATCGCCGATGTCTTTGATATGCGACAGTTTATTTGAACGATCGAAAATTCCAGGTCAGTGTAACCCTGATTATCTCTACTCCGTACGTAATTTTGAGGCACATCGTGAAGTGAACGGTTTTCTGGAACAATACATTTTTCCAAAATTATATCAAAGCAATGTAGCTCGTCGATTTTCCGATTTCATAGATTTTGATGTTACCTACAAGGGTAAGTCTCTATACGAGATAGTAGCACTAGATGCTTTCATGAAGACAAAGCCAGTAGCATTTAGGTTTACGGATAGAGAAACTTCCGAGCTGACTAGTAGGTTCTTAGTCTTTTTTAAGACAGTTTCGTCAGGGATACCTGTGGGATTTTTCATCAATGACAACAGTCCCGCCATAAACAATGCACTATCTGCCAACTTTTCGCAAGCGCATTATGTGCTATGTGGAATCCCGACCGTTGCTAATACCCTGACTTGGTGGTCAGGCTTGCCTATCGTGATGAAACAATCGAGCTATACTGGCTGGAACAATCGTTCCTCAAGGTCCTACCATGTCAGACAAGTCGGTTGAAGAACGGTAAGACTAAAAGCAACAAACCCAAGGTCCGAAGGCGAAGTCGTACTGCTGAATGTACACAGGTGTGACGGCAGTAAGATGTTTCCTTCAGACAACCGTCATGACAGCGATGCTGCCTTCCCACAAGGAGGGGTGTGGTTAGAAAAAGTCGACCCTAAAAATGCACACCTCGCCTTATCCCACGGATATCTGTCTCCGGCGGTAAGGTCCCAACAAGTACAGAACACGAAAATTACTCACAAAAAGGTTGTGTGTGACCGACCTCAAGCAGTTGCCCTTCGGCATTGCGGTCACGCTCTCAGGTCACTAAGACCACCTCTAATCCAATTTCCTTTTCAGGTACCTTCAGAAGAACCCTTCCACGGTATGGGCAACTGGAAAGTAAAAACCGCCCTCATATCTCTAACAGCACTCAAGATCACAGACTAACTGAATTATGTAGAATACATGTAATACGTAATCTCTTTCGGGGAAGGAATAGGTACGTTTACTGTGTATAACTAACAAGTCACTCATAGAATATCTCATCTAAACATTTCGACAATTTCTTTGTCTAATGTATACGAAAAACACTGGACGGTAAGTGTAAGCTTACATTAATGCATAAATTTGTGTAGATTCAACTCTAACAAAAACGATATTGAAGACGACAATTTAACATTTTGCCACAATCCAAAAAATAACCTTCACATTAAGAGTTTGAACCATGAGAAATGCTCTGAATGCAAAATAACACGAAATTCATGGTACAACGCACAGGATGATAATGTTCAGCCTCAACTCTAAATGTCCTGTGTTGCGTTGTGTTTCATTTATTTTTAAGGAGTGGCTACTGGCTGCATGCTAGAGCGAATGAAATGAGGAAGGAAATGTTTTAAAAAAGTGTTGTTCCATAAAGGTCCGAATGAATGGAGATCCATTTCTTACTCTATGGAAACGTATTATGTATCGTTAGGGTTGTTATTACTATATACATAAGGTTATGCGACTTCTACAGGATGTGCAAGCAAAAAGGCGTGGAAAATTAATAAACTTTTTATGTATTTACATAGAATGATGACATTCAATTTATTTATTGTTATAACTGCATTTTATTAATAATTGAATAATTTACTCCAGATTCAATTGTATTCACGGAACATTTGTTTTATCATAAAAACTAAGATTTCAGAGGTTTCTCGTTTTCCTTTTGATATTGTCTGCTACTGTAATCTCGACACAGCTAACAGCTGTCATTTGCTTATTCCATGTTGTTACAAGTAACCTTCAGTCGATTTTAGTAAGCAGCCTTCTATGATTATGCCAACACGGTAAATACCGTAGCCCTTCGCAAATTGAAGTTTGTAATCCATTCGATGCATTTTCATTATAACAATATAGTATTTTCAGAAAAACTTGAGTTTTTGATCACTAGACTCTACAGGTCACATAATCGTGTGATCAAAAGGTTCGATTATCGCGAAAACACTAACGAAGTTAGCAATATTATATTCAGGAATTTTGTTAGAGTGGGTAGATTTGCTTATTTACTTTTTAAGCTAACAGTTGTGTACGAGGTACTTCGGACGGTCCTTTCAACATTATGGAGATCATATATAAGAAAGAACATGTCTTTTTATCACAATTAAACCTCTTACACACAATAAGTAAAATAAGTAAATAAGCTTACTAACTGATCGTATATGTTATGCGTGGTCATTAAAAAATGATAGATAGAAAAGGAAAATAATACCTGTATTTATACAATGATTCTTTGGAAATTATTTATCGGTTTATATCACGACTGTCAGTCATATCTATTTTCTATTGAGTTCAGAAGTGTAACTCAATTCCTCAGGCATTAACCATATCAGAAAAATAAAAATCATAACAGATATGCGAACGTTTAGAGGTTCTGACTAAAGAAACAGTTGGACACTCACCCTCATCAGCTGTTTTGGTTCCCTTGTGACTAGTCATATCAGTATCGCAATAACCAGGACAACACTGTCAAATTAATAATAAAAAAACTCAAAATTATTTCTTTTGATATGTTTATATCAGGTGTGATGACAACCTAGTAATTTTAATCTGGAAACAAACTTTTAAATAACCCAATTTAAATTTTGAGATTAACAAATTGTTTTATTACTGTATGTGATCATTACGTAGAAAGACATTCATGAACGATAAATTTAACTGAAAACAATCTTAAGAATTAAATTTAAGTACATAGGATAAGAATATTATTTCCCTTAAATGGTGTACATGTTGAAACTGCAAACAACTCGCATTTTAAAGATCACTTTGTCCGAACTAATTAACTAAGAAATTAGGATAAATAGATGCTCTCAAAACTAACTATAAACATATAGAGTTCAAAAAATATCAAACTCAAAGAAAATGATGGAAGTAGGTTAAATAAAAATTGTCAGCTTCTAGAGGAAAAGGATAACTATATTATTATTTTAACTAACAACGATAACTTTATATAATAATATACATGAATAAATCCAACGAATAACTTGATTGAATTATTTCTCGTTCTATGCTACTCTGATTGTAATTTAAGAATGGATATCATTCGCTACCAATCTAGAACTTATACATGATAAGTCAGGTTAATTCATCCAACTTTTATATAGATATTTCTAAACTTAACTAATGAGAATGTATTCAAGTTCGAAAATGTGACAACATTATTATAAAACTCTAGCAAACTACTTTTGCTTTAAACGGAGCAATTTTCCTGTTAAGTTAATGTTTTTAATATCTGTAAAACTTATGTCTGAAATAACCTCAACCAACTGATATTTAGAAAATTGCGACGAAAATTTAGTGCAACTTAATTACACAAATACAATTATTATGATGCTTAAGTAATTTATTTTAGAATCTCAAAAACTAAGTGATGTGTAGGCGAGTAAATTAATGATTGGTCGTTTGCTTAGTCAGACTAGTAGATAGTTTGACAGATATTAGATGAGTTATATAATTCCTTACCCTTATTATTACTGTCATTGTTGTCGGTTTTTGGTGTGGAAATATATTTATGTTCTAGTTAGGCTAATCACGCGTTCTTGATTTGAGTTGTGCTGAAGTACTATAGAATAAACACTGGAAAGGTCACTAGTGTAGATATTCATCCAGGGTAAAGTAACGTCTTATTCGTGCAGACGGGAAAACCGATATCAACAAACTAATAACATCACGATACCCAAGACATACAGCTCAAAAAGAGTTACAAGCACGTATTGTGGCTTCCCACATTTTGGATTGACGAAAAAGTATGCAATACATAATAACAAGATAATCAGTTACTCCGTTATGGATAAATATAGCTAATTTGAACTATTAATGGGTTTGTATATAATCACTGGATTACCTGGTATTTTATTTTACAAAACGAATACTATTCTAATTTTAAGATAAGAACAATTTGCATAAATATAGACACAAACCATCACAATATCAACAAAACAAACTAACCGAATTTATCACAATCCCTCTTGGATCATCTTTCAGCATTTCACCGAAAATAAATGAAGCCTTTGTAAGGCCTATTTTAGACACACCATAAGCATTTTGTGGCCAACCTTTTTCAGAATAAGTACCATCCTCAGCGGACCTAATTACAGATTTGAAAAACCAATTACCCAGTAAATAAATCTAGAATGATTAAATACTACTTCAATATTTAGGTGGATATAGTCACCTCGCAAAATAATAGTACTGAAAAATTAACAGGAAATAAATTTAGGAAACAATATACTAGGGATGATAATCGCTCCTATATATGGATCAAAAGAAACCAATCTACACTGGTAGTCTAAGATGAAGGTTTTCATTTTCCAGTCTATCGAAATACCCATGTTACTTTGATTATTCAGTGAAAGCTTTAGTAGGTTCCAACACCCTACATACTGCTTGAACAGCGATCAGTAAATTTACTGACCCAAAACTCATACAATAATGTACTTGAAAAATGTCTCAGTCAGTCAGTTAAAACGTAAGACCAGGCATATATATGCATCGGTCCAAGTTTCCACACCTCATTATCACAGCAAGATGAACACCAAAATCATAGAAGCAATTAACTCAATGGTGTAATATATAAAGTAAAGACTGCATATAAGGATATAGTATAGGAAGAAAGTTAGTTCGTAGAAAGAAAGATATGAAATAATTTCAGTCTCTTAGTTTAAGGGAAGACAAAGAGTGTATACACCGACGAATTTGTGATCGATTCTGAGTCATGTCACAAAGAGTCTCAAACCATTGGTTACGATAGTCACGCGGACACCAACCAAGTAGTCTGCATCTGGCAACATGGCTCAGACTAGAAGTTAGTGACTTCAAGCACTGATGACACCTTTTGGTTTGGCCGCCCCTAACTTTCTTCCAACCATTTCCAATACCGGATAGCATTGCACGTCGTGGTAATCGGTGTTCAGGCATACGTAACACGTGGCCCAACCATCTCAGTCGATGAAGATTCATAACCTCATCAACTGATTTACCATCCTTTCCTAATATCCTGCGTCTAACCTCACTATTACTTACCCGGTTATCCCAGCAGACGCCAGCAATATTTCTAAGGAATCTGTGGTCATATACTAATAGCTTACGAGTGTCGTCTACCCTTAATAGCCAGGTTTCGCAGCCGTAAAGTAAAACAGAACGAACTGCCGCGCAGTATACTCGTCCCTTAATTGATAGACGGATATCTCGCATTCGCCATAGGTGATGTAAGTTGGCAATAGCAAAACTAGAATTTCGAATCCGTGCAGAGATGTCGTCAAACACCAATCCATTAAAGCCGATCAGAATTCCCAGATAAATGACGTTGTCGATGCGTCCGACTACTTCACTCCCTATCCTTAGTTCAGGTTTCGACGCAGACCAGTCCTGAAGCAACAACTTGCATTTAGAGGGAGAGAAGCGCATTTCAAACATCCTGGCATTGTTGCTTAGTGTTACCAGAAGACTCTGAATTTTATCAGATTCTTCGCCAAGCAGGATTATGTCATCTGCGTATTCTAAGCCGATAAGTGGACCTCCTGGAAGGAGATCAATGCCCGGAAGGTTATGTCCATCAGTGTGTCTATGACGAAGTTGAACAAAAATGGAGATAGTGGACACCCTTGACGGACACCACTTGAGGTTGCAAAAGCAGATGACAGTTCGCCATAATCTCTGACTCGACTGGTAGTGTTCGAGTAAACAGCCCTCACAAGGATTATGTACTTCTGAGGTACGCCTTTCAATGACAGACACTGCCACAAAATCTCGCGGTCTACCGAGTCAAATGCTGCTTTTAAGTCAAGAAAGATCACCATTATCGGACACCGATAAGTATATCTGTGTTCTAGAACCTGACGAATGGTGAATATATGGTCGGTACAGCCACAACTAGGTTTGAAGCCAGCTTGATTTTCTCGTGTTTGCAGTTAGTTCACGAGTCTTTGTTAGACGACTTATAATTATCGAAACTAGTGTAGTGAACAAGAACACAGGTGGGGACAATCGAATGTATTTAGCACGGAAATTACAGACTATCTCAACAAAATCTGAATACCATAAAGTCAATCGTCAATTTGCAAATTATCAATGCATCATTATCAAACTGTACTGTTCAAGTTGCAAACACTAATCCATTGTCTCTCATTTCATTGTTCATGCGATTTCTTACAAATTCCATTGCGTTCTTGCTCTTCTTTTCTTGATCTTCTCCATTTTCTACTGCCAGGTCTTACATCCTTTTAACGCACGTCATATACTACTTATGTCAATATAAGTAGCTCACACCACACTCGTGCCCCCCCTTTAAAGCAGTCGTTCTTGTGGTGGTTCGTGCTCGCCGTGCAACATTCTCCGTCTCTGCAGCCTGTGCCACGCTCTCCGTCAAAATGTCGAGTCTGCGGCGCGCTGACTTCCGTAGCTCCGTCGACCTGCCGGGAAAACAACAACCGACATCCACCCGTAACCTGGGACGCTTGAGACCCGTACTCCACCGGCCTGCTGAGCCATCTACATTCGATGTCCGCCCAGCAGCCGCGCGTCCCACCGCTCCTCTCCGCCGACAGCATCCACTACAGCCAACGCCGCCCCGCCAGAACACTCCACCAGACGACGCCCCTCCGCACCAGGCTGCCCCAACTGGCACCTCAGCCCCAGGCCCGCAACGGCGTCCGCAGAACAGCACCCTCCTCCTCTCCCGGTTGGCAGCGACACCAAATGTAGTGAACAAGAACACAAGTGGGGACAATCGAATGTATTTAGCACGGAAAATACAGACTATCTCAACAAAATCTGAATACCATAAAGTCAATCGTCAATTTGCAAATTATCAATGCATCATTATCAAACTGTACTGTTCAAGTTGCAACACTAATCCATTGTCTCTCATTTCATTGTTCATGCGATTTCTTACAAATTCCATTGCGTTCTTGCTCTTCTTTTCTTGATCTTCTCCATTTTCTACTGCCAGGTCTTACATCCTTTTAACGCACGTCATATACTACTTATGTCAATATAAGTAGCTCACACCACACTAGTATTTTAGATGCTATATTAATCAGACTAATCCCTCTATGGCTATCACAGGATGATTTTGACCCCTTCTTATATTTTGGGATAATCAGTGATTGTGACCAGTTAGATTAGATTACGTCCAACTCCCAGATTTTAGCTAAATATTAGTCAACCTAACAACTTAAAAGTCATTTTCAAATTCATCCAAGCTGAAGTCGGTGAGAGCGTTGGCAGAAACGACGAAAAGGCAACGACGTGTGTCCCTCTCCCTTCGAGTTCCTACGGAGCCGTTTAGCCGTACAGCAAATACACGACTGTTAACGGGGATTCACTCTAATACTGCTTGTTCAACCCTCGTACTTAGTGTTATGCCTACCAGTCCACTAAAACTAGCCATTGGGTCACCAGGTACACGGAAGGTGTATCTCACCGGTTCTCCGTTTTGCCGAGGTGAGGTCAAGTGAATGACCACATCAGGATCCTGTATGTGTGTTTCGAAGACACAGCATACATCGATCGTACGAGATTCTAGATTCTCAGCCAAGGACACCTGCTGGCCGATTCAACATAGGGTGCGTACGTTGTGTAGTTTGGAGCGAGGTTTCAGTAGACCTTAGACAGTGTTTTGCGCACTAGAATCGTTGGCCATGGTGATACTTGAGGAGGAAGCCAAAAGAGGAAGTTTAATGTTGAAAGTCGATGTAGGAGGAATAATAGGGACTAAGGAAAGAGGTTGATTATGAATACAGTGGTCTTGAGTGCTGTTAGAGATATGAGGGCGGTTTTTACTTTCCAGTTGCCCATACCGTGGAAGGGTTCTTCTGAAGGTACCTGAAAAGGAAATTGGATTAGAGGTGGTCTTAGTGACCTGAGAGCGTGACCGCAATGCCGAAGGGCAACTGCTTGAGGTCAGTCACACACAACCTTTTTGTGAGTAATTTTCGTGTTCTGTACTTGTTGGGACCTTACCGCCGGAGACGGATATCCGTGGGATAAGGCGAGGTGTGCATTTTTAGGGTCGACCTTTTCTAACCACATCCCTCCTTGTGGGAAGGCAGCATCGCTGTCATGACGGTTGTCTGAAGGAAACATCTTGCTGCCGTCACACCTGTGTACATTCAGCAGTAAGACTTCGCCTTCGGACCTTGGGTTTGTTGCTTTTAGTCTTACCGTTCTTCAACCGACTTGTCTGACATGGTAGGACCTTGAGGAACGATTGTTCCAGCCAGTATAGCTCGATTGTTTCATCACGATAGGCAAGCCTGACCACCACGTCAAGGTAGCAACGACGGTCGGGACCTCTACCACTACGGGATTTACTTGACAACTGCATCTCTGTGCTAATGTGGTATGGCAACTTGAAATGATGTACGTACGAAGTTCTACGTTGTTACTGACTGACTGAAGGATATGATACGGGAAGAAAGAGTTAGTTAGCCCTTCTAGGGTTGCTGCCGGTCCCAAGCCCAGATATAGGAGGGTTAGGCATAGCGTCAGCATACCTATCCCGTACAAAACAACCCTGATGAAAAAAACGCTAATCGTGAAAAAACTATTTAAACGATTTAGATTCTCCCCTGGGAGTTAAGGAATTTTGGAAGCCTAAGCGCAACAGGAAAAGAAGACCAACGAACACATAGCGCAGGAAATTGGAGGCAGACATAAAAAATGAATCGCAATTGGAAACAAGTGAGAAGGAGAGCCCAGACCAAAGTCGGTTGAAGAAACCTGGTGGGCAGTCTATGCTCCACGAGGGGTAACAGGAGTACACAAGTTGTAAGAATATAAAGGAGAGGAATATAACTACCAATTAAGAACGTCGCAGACCAATCTAAGGAAGTGAAGATTTAAACAATGAACTACGAAGTCACGTTAACTCGGAACAAAAATAATTGTTGTCAACGTAAGGAACATAACAAAACCTTTTAAAAAACAGATTATTAGATGACAAAAACGAGGCACTTTTTGCTAACTCCATCAAAATTAAAACAAAACAACCGAAGGGGAATTTAAATCACTAAAATAACGAACAATGATAAAAGTTTCATATTGGTCATAATTTGATGACAAGTTATGACCCATTATGGATGGGTGCGAAACATGAAGGTTAGTAATTCTCAACTCTAGGAAGTCAAAGGATGGAACATCCCTTTGGTTTTGCCAACAATCAGGAAATCCTGGGACAAATGCACCGTAAGTTACAGGGATTTGTTGTGAATAGTGATATAACGTACGGTTTCAAATATTTTTTTACTCTTACGTATTCTACAATTGCGTGTCAATACGATAAAGAGGCTATTCATGTTATACGAGATTCAGGATTCACAACTCAGAATAGAGAACCAGATTATACTAGATAATACTTTATTCAATACAACTACAAGTAGTCACGCTCAGTGAGTCTGGAATAGAAATCAATGACAGGAAAGAATGTCACATATTTAATAGTCCGTAGGCTAAGTGGCTGTTTGTCCACGCTAAACGACCAATCATATTTTACTTTTACTACTACACATCAAATCGATTACGTAAAGCTACTATAAGAGTTTGATGACTGTATGCATTCCTCAATTACAAAAAGACATAAAGGTATCTCATCAGAATGCTATTCCAGCAACTTACTGTGAATTAGATACAAAAAAGTTACACCCAAGAGATATGAAAAATTATTTGATGTAACTATGGTAATCTTGGTTGAACTATTTGCTCTATTGATCTATTATCCCCTAAATTAGAATAAAATGACTTACTTTACAAACTCGGAGATGAGTGTTCGAAGTTCCAAAAGATTTATTGGGCTAACGAACTTTTCGTAAAGATCATCACTAAGTTTCTTGAGACTGGTTAGAGAAACAGAACTAGATACATTGACAACCCTGTAAAAATATAAATAAATATGAATTAGTACCTAGCATGTTTAGCCAGCAAAGGAATGAACTCTTCCGTGAAATCAATGGTTGATGTGAAGTTGGTGTTCACCGTAACTCGTGCTTGCTCGCCAAAGGGAGCCGTGGAGTTAACCTTTGAATAATATAAAATAAAAAACAAAAACTTTGTAGGCAAATCCAGCATTATTCACTGCAATGTTGATTCCATTAGGATAGTTTCTCTCTACAAATGTTAGGAACGCTTTTCGACTATCTCGATCAGTTATATCTAGTTGATGAAATTTAACATCCAGGCCCTTTTTACTGAGCTTCTCCACAGCTTCCTGACCAAGCTCAACATTTCGAGCTGTTAAATTATCAACCAACAACTTCTTACCTGTTAGATAAATATCCCACTCTCCTGATGACCCATAAAATTCTGCAAGCTTTTCAACAATGCTATATCCAATCCCTTTGTTTGACCCAGTTACCTAAAGAGGAGTAATATATTGTTTGTAAGATAAGTGAACTCATCACACGAATGCCAGTTTCATCACACTTTTTCAGAATATCACAAGGTCTGAAATTTTAGAAAACAGAAGACATGAAAAATACAGTACGATTCTATTCAGTAGGTTAAAACTTGGAAAGATACTAGGTTGACATTATTCAGAATCATAGTTAACTAACGTTTCAATACTAGCAACAAGTAAACTCTCTTGCGGCAGACTAAAGAATGAATTGGTTAAGAAAGAGATCCTCGTTGTAGCGACCAAGCGGCTTATTAATCAAAAATGCATTATTTCATTATTTTAAATCATATATATTAGTGTAAAGCCATGATAAAAAACTAATTAAAATTTTTTTTCGCTCGATCTGTTCTTTTGTTAAGAAGTGCATTTGCCCGCATGTCGAGTTAATGAACAAGGTGGATACGGACGACAGTTGGCTGACTATTAATAGTTCAGTTCTGGACTATTTTACTTTCCTAAAAATCACTAATCATTTTCCTGTAGATGAATTCAGTTCTGCGTCTGATTTGGTCCAGCCGTTGGATACAATAACTAGCATGATGTAAACACACTACCCCAGCACACGGATAAATCCAAGCGGCAAGTGCGTTATTTCTATTCGTTGTTCGCAGAAACACAGTGAAGAGAAAATCTGACTATTTGTATGATCCCTTCAACTTGAATGTCGCAGAAATGTAGGCTGGGTACGGTCAAGCTGAATACTTTAAGCTTAGGTTGTCAGCAACTCCAGACTCTCCATTTGGAAAGTAAGCCTGTTATTTCTAAAGCTTTGTATAAGTTCAAGCAAAGCAGTTATTGCCATCACAAGGTACTTCGATGTTAAGTAACAGAGCAATTTGGGGTGAAAAAGCTTGGTTTAAAGCAATTTTTAGTCTAATGGTTTACTAAAAAATGAATGTAAATATAAAAAGACTTCGAACCACCGTTGCTGAAATGCTAGTGAATATGAGACAGGTGATATTGCTATTAAAAACAACTATATGTGATGATCAAAGGAAATTGGCAGGGGATTATCTAGTTTACGGTTCTCTGAAGAAGAATTGGAAGCGTTAGATATTTTCAACAATGAGATACTCGAGATAAATCTAATTGTCAACTGATTTAGTTTGTAATTGCTTCACTTTTTGAATGTCAATAATAACTAGGCTGATGAGTAACCAACTAATAATCAGTTATGACTAATTTATATGATATAGTGAAACCAGATTTAGAGACCAAGTTTAAGTTGATGGAAGTTGCCAAAAAAGGTAAGTTTCAATTCTACGACAGTGTTATTTATTCATTTATTTATTTGAACACATAAATATTGGTACAAGAGAGTGCCAATATATATGCGCCACACAAAACAATGAGAATTCGAAGGGAATGAAAAAAAAAGAGAACAATAACGAAGAGGTTGGTGTAAGATAGTGTAGTAATAATAATAGTAATAATGAGGGAACGGAAAGGCACAATCAGAAGAAATCTTTCAGTTAAGGGAGACACAACCACTTTTTATGAAGAAAGTAAAAGGTTACAGCAGGATCGCCACTGGCTTCTATTCTGAGCCATATCTGATAACGTCTCTAGCCAGTGTAGCACTGTAGTGAACAAGAACACGGGTGGGGACAATCGAATGTATTTAGCACGAAAATTACAGACTATCTCAACAAAATCTGAATACCATAAAGTCAATCGTCAATTTGCAAATTATCAATGCATCATTATCAAACTGTACTGTTCAAGTTGCAACACTAATCCATTGTCTCTCATTTCATTGTTCATGCGATTTCTTACAAATTCCATTATGTTCTTGCTCCACCTTTCTTGGTCTTCGCCATCTTTTGCTGCCAGACATTACATCCTTTTAACGCACGTCATATACTACTTATGTCAATATAAGTAGCTCACACCACAGCACCATCTCTCGGATCCCAACCAGGGAGTCGTGAAAAACCAACAGAAGCCAGTTCTTTGCAGCTTTCTTCCATACCACGACACCATGTCATACACTGACCACCTCTCCGCTTCTTCCAACCAGTCCCAGAGGCGGCAAATAATGCACGACGTGGAATTCTCTGGGACGACATTCGTAGAACATGTCCAAGCCACCGAAGTCGGTGTTTCAAGATGGTGACATCGATTGCATTATCATCTCTGTGACCGAACACACGATGCCGAACCTCTACATTACTGACATGGTGTTGCCACTGGATGTCAGCAATCCTTCGGAGACAGCGATGATCGAACACAGAGAGTCTTCTAACGCCCTCAATTCGGAGAGGCCAGGTTTCACAAGCATAAAGCAAAACTGCTTTCACCGACGCGTTGTACCTTTTACAGCCAGACTAACATCACGAAGGCGCCAAAGGTGACCCAGATTGGCATAAGCCGCTCTGGCATCACTATACGTGCATTGATCTCATCACTCACACCCCCACCAGCACTTATGCAGCTATCTAGATACACGAACTTCTCGACTACTTCTATCTGCTCACCATCCAGGATGAGTACAGGATTAGAATCCTGCCAGTCTTGTAGAAATACTTTGCACTTCGAAGGTGCAAAGCATATACCGTACCTACGGACACTGAGTGCAAACTGATTAAGTGCGGATTGCATGGCTTGGGCATTATCGCACAGGAAGACAATATCATCCGCATACTCAAGGTCGAGAAGTTTTTCTCCAGGCAACAGATCAACACCACCACTACTTACATTCATCAGAGCTGTTTCCAGAATGTCATCGATGGCAAAGTTGAAGAGGAATGGTGAGATTGGGCAACCCTGCCTAACCCCACTGCTCGAATGGAACAATCGAAAGAGGTGGTTGTATGCCCTCACTCTACATGGTGTTTGTGTATAGGGTCTTTAAGATGTTAATAAACTTCTCAGGCACACCCTTCTTCAATAGACAATCCCAGAGAACAGTCCTATCCAACGAATCGAAGGCAGCCCTAATGTCAAGAAACACTACGATTGTTGACCTTTGGTAAGTATGACGATGTTCTAACATTTGGCGGAGGGTGAAGATATGATCAATACATCCTCGACCAGAACGAAACCCAGCATGCTCCTCGCGAGTCAATCTTTCTCGGATTTTGAACAACCTACGAAGTATGACGGAAGCCAATAGCTTGGACGCAATCGGAAGTAGACTTATCCCCCGATAGTTGTTACAGGAACGATGTGAACCCTTTTTAAAGATAGGGACAACTATCGACTCATTCCATGACGTTGGTAAACTCTCTAGTTCCCAAACCTTTGTAAACAACGTCGTCAATTCCTTAGTCAGAAAGTCACCACCATCTTTAAAAAGAGCCGGAGGTAAGTCATCTGGGCCAGGTGATTTGTAACGCTTCAAGAGTTGGAGTTCCTTGCGGACTTTCGCCTCATTTGGTGGATCAGTCTTCACCGCCATGGAGGGCAGGACAGTCTGACCGATGTTGCCGGAGCAGCAGGCCAGTTGAACTGCCCTTCGAAAAATTCTGCCCATTGTACAGGACGTCGATGGATGTTAGTGATTGGCATCCCATCATCCCCGCAGATTGTTTCGCTCACACCAGACTTCTTGCTGCCAGTGGCTCGAAAGAGTTGGAAGAGCTTCCGGTAACTACCAGATGCAGCTGCTGCCTCCAGCTCATTAGCACGCTCCGACCACCAGGCTTCTCGGTTCTTATGCAAACTTTGCCCAATTTCCTTACGTAACATCCTTCGTTTGTGGTCAAACTCACGGTCACCCGGAGTAGACCGACGGGCTTCAATGAGTTGTAAGGAACCTGAAGAAACCCAGTGCTTATAAGCGGGACGTTTAGCGAACCCACAACTGACTGTGTGTAGAAAGTAAGAATTCTTTTTGTGACCTATTCACGTGGTCCTTTAGCATGGAAACTCTCAACGTCCAATGTTAGTGAGAAATATCTTCCCAAAGTTTAGGGTTCTACCTCGACAGGTCACTTTTACTACATGAGAGATTAAGACTTACTTACTTACGCCTGTTACTCCTCGTGAAGGAGCATAGGCCGCTCACCAGCATTCTCCATCCAACCCTGTCCTGGGCAATCCTTTCTAGCTCCGTCCAGTTGTAATTCATCATTTTCATATCTGCTTCTATTATCCGACGCAATGTGTTCTTTGGCCTTCCGCTTTTTTGCTTCCCTTCAGGATTCCAAGTTAGGGCTTGCCTCATGATGCAGTTTGACTATTTGCGTAATGTATGTCCTATCCATTTCCATCGTCTTTTTCTAATTTCTTCTTCAGCTGGAAGTTGGTTTGTTCTCTCCCACAGAAGGCTATTGCTGATGGTATTCGGCCAATGGATGTTGAGTATCTTGCGTAGACAGCTATTTATAAATACTTGTACTTTTTTGATGGTGGTTGTTGTAGTTCTCCAAGTTTCAGCTCCATACAGTAGAACCACCTTGACGTTGGTATTGAAGATTCTCACTTTGATATTGGTTGAAAGTTGTTTTGAGTTCCATATGTTCTTTAACTGTAGGAATGCTGTCCTTGCTTTGCCAATCCTTGCCTTTACGTCTGCATCTGAATCTCCTTGTTCATCGATGATGCTTCCTAGGTATGTGAAGGACTCTACATTTTCCAGAGTTTCGCCATCAAGTGAGAGGTTAAGAGTTTAAGAGAATAAGCGTTATTGTAGATAGAAACGTAACATTTTTGCTTTCCGTTTTTCAGGCACAGGCATTAACCCTGCATAATAGCACTGTAATCCTTACCTTAACTTGTAACGAACATTTTATAAAAACCCCTCAACGTGTTGACTGTTGTCCCATTTTACAGTTCAAGTGACAAACAGTGCCCCATATCGACAACCGATGGATCGTTGAATTCTACGTTTATATTGTTGCCATTTTTTATAGGTAGACGTTTTTTAAATACAGGCCGACATTTCTATTAGATCTAGTGCACTGAATGAAATCAGATTTAACAAGTCTGCATAAGAGTCATTGCTAGTAAATATATGTATTCAGTAAAACCTGTACAACCCATACTATTTCTCCCTTTAAATTACAGAAGACAACCATTAATGATGGAAAACCTGTATCACTTGAAATGTTTTTCGATTGTAATCTGAATATTAAGTCTTCGAGACTATAAATCTAATTCGTGTGAATAAACGGCTTTTCTCAAATATGTTATTTTTTTAAATAATGTCAACTACACAGGACACCTATGGTATATAGGCGGTCGCAGATTAACCAATGTTAATGTCGGCGAAAAATATACAGATTGCGAAAATTAAACTATTTGGAAAGTATTCAAGATATTTGATAGGAGCTTAAGCAAAGGTTAAGGCGTCAATTTTAAGATATTTTTCTTGAATCGTAATGTCCATATGAAAGCCTGCACTATTTTAGCCCTGGAAAAAGGAGTAAGTCTAATGCATCTTCTCCCAAATTCACACCAACTTTTCTTGAGAAATCTCCCAAGTATTCAACAAACTTCATTATTTGCCTGATTTCGTCTGCTTTTACTACCCAACGATGTATTTATCAGAGAGACTAACTGAAATCGCATCAGGAATAAGTGATTAAATATCAATGAAGACATAAACACTAATATGAACGTACTATGTTGTTGAAACGACGACCACTCGATAACAGTGACCCTGACCTTAAAATTTTAAGACATTCAAACTCCAAGGTTATCCAAATGGTTGAAATGGTTGTGAAAAGAATAAAAGAAGCTTTCGCTTCACGAGATTCTGTGTCTAGTAGCAGTGAATCATCAATATCTCCAGGCAGGAACCTAAGTATATTAATGGTAAAAGAGGAAAAAGAAATTGCAAAGTCACAGTAAGTCCTTAAGAATATGTCAAGTTTTCTCACAACGGACTCCTGGAAAGTCGCTCGGGCTAGCTGATTCAGCAGCAAATTCCAGCATCTGACTACTCTTAGGCAATAGAAGTTGCTGAGTTGTGTCTCCACTTACTGGGTATTCCCGTTAGGTTTGTGTTGGATCTAAACTTAATTAAGTGTTTAAGAGGATGTTCAGAAGGGTTGAGAACTCCATAAGAAGGTCACTTTTAATACGCCTGTACTCTAATGGGTAAAATTTTAGTGATTGGAGGCGCTCTTCATAAGGCTTGAATTTGAGTACCTGAAATGATTTCGTGACTCGCCGTTGGATATGTTACAGAGTGTCCTTATCCTTTTGAAATGAGAGAAGAAATACTATGTTTTCCTACTTTAAATGGGGACGAATTGAACTGTTGAAAATTGTGTGAAAATTTCTTTCGTCAAACTGACCGAAAACGCGCTTCAATGTTACCAGTGCAAAATTTCCTCGAAAGGCATTTTTGTCACAGTTAGTGTAAGACTTCAAATCGTAGGGTACCAACACTCCCAGATCTTTATCGACTCGGGATACTTCTGGAGAGGAGTTGCTTAAGTACTAACTGTAGTCTGCAACATGTCTCAAATGGACTACTGTACACTTTGAAGTTTCACCGATGAGTCCGTTATCGTCTGTTCAACTAGGAAGTCGAGTCAGATCCTCCTGAAGTGCCTGTATATCCTCTTGGTTGCGTATTTCTCTCCAAAGTTTCAGGTCATCAGCGAAAGGTAGCAGGTCAGACGATAAGTATTGTGGAAGATCGTTTAAATAAATCAAGAAAAGAAGTCCTAGTACTGAACCCTGGGGGAATCCAGCAGGACATTCTATAGTTTGAGAGAAATTGAAGTTAACTCTAACCTTAAAATGTAGACTTTTTAGATATGAAGTGAGCCAATCAATTAAAAGTGATTTGACACCCGATCGTTTGAGCTTGTTGATAAGACATATATGGTTGACCTTACCAAAAGCTTTTGAGAAGTCAAGATAAATGACGTCAGCCTTCCCCTTGCGATCAAGGACGGTTGTCCATCTGTCCATCGCAGTCAGCAGGCTGGTTATACAAGAGCGAGCTTTTCTGAAACCGTGCAGTTTGCGTGAAAAGAAGTTTAAGGTCAATAAATAGTCGTGTATACCGTCGCATATCAGGGACTCCATTATTTTTGAAGGTATAGAAAGAAGGTGACTTCAACCAGATACCTTGAGGTGTTAGGCAATCCAACTGAGCACCATACAGATTCATCAAGGTTGAAAAACTCCTGGGCGTGCACTGGATGTACCACCAGGCAGGATCGTAAATATAAAGCTACTCCGTCCCCGATTCCTGTTTTTCTGTCATTGAGAAACAAAGACATCCGGTGTATTGCTAGCCACTAGTCCGTAAACTGAGAAGATATCCAAGTTTCAGATATTCCTATCAGATTAGCATTATTAGCATTGCTGAGTTCATGAAGCTCATTCCTTTTATTCAGTAAACTTTCAGCGTTCATGTATAATCAGTTTATGCCTTCAATTTAGAACGCGTTAACTTCTTCATGTTTGTCGGTATGAGATTTACAAGATTGGACACTTAGCCTACCTATAAAAGGCTTTCCAAGTAGGTAGTCCTTGTCCTTTCCATGTGTTTCATTATCTAAACAGTTCACAAGTGGAATGATCAGCTCCGATTTGACTTTATACCTGATCATGGATTCATGTGGCCCATCCGGATGCTTATAGATACCCATTGGCGACCGACGTCTGTTGGCACGAAATGTTTTCAGAATTGCAGCCGCCGTATGGGAGGATGGGAAGCTTTTCTTCATCAGTCGGGGTCTAGAATCTCCGTCCTTCTCGGTTAGTCTCCCCCACTTGTTGAGTCACTGTGTGGTTGATGAATTTCCGTTTCCGCATATCACAGTTAATGTGGTCAGGGTTCGTGTTTTCCAGTACACCTTCACAATGATATTTCTTTCGCGGAAAAACTTCTTTCGAGATTCTTTAGGGATGGTCCGGAAGAGATCGTTCCCAAAATACGGTATATGAGGTAGTATTCTTACGTTCTCACCTGATTTCAACAAGTGACTAGCCAGTAGGATATTCTCTACGTCGGTAGCGTTAGTGAGTTTTACACGGAGTAGTCTTGTGTGATTTCGTTGCTTATAGTCCTTTCCCGAATGAACCCTGTGACCGTCATAAGCTCTATTTTGGGAAGTTCAAGGTTGTTGTTTAACACTTCCAAGAGCATCGTACCATGCTTTTTCTGAAAACTGAGAGGAAGGTCAGGCCTGTATTTAATGTCCAAGATTATGAAAGAATCATTGCGAACCGTTATCGTTTTTTAAGGTCTTCGGGTACGTTCATGCTGAGGACCTTGTTGCTTGAGAGTTGTAGCGCGTTTCCGGTTAGACATTCTTGAAGGCAAACTGTGAGGACAAATCACCAGCTGATTTCACCACAATATTCAGCTTCTTAGACAGTGACGCCCGGCCCTCTTTAACTTTGTTAACGAGGTTCCAATCACTCACAGAGTTTTTAGGAACCACCGTTGCATTCACGGATCGTGTGCAGGGAGACATAAGTCTACTGAGGGAGTCTAATACCGTCGATATTGTGATGGTGCTGAGTTTCAGTACGTCTTCACCAGTGCTATCAAAATGCTCCATCGATATTAGTGATTTTTAAATCCCTTTTCTTGTTTACATTGCGCGCCATTGAGTGTATAACTATTTTTGGGACGATCTTTTTTCAAGTTTGCTGGCAACTTAGTCCGTAGACTTGTCAAGAGAATGATGTTGTTCAGCGAAACCCCAGCATTCGTGTTGCACGTGACACCCCCCACTTGTGATCCGACTTACTGAGTCTGTTGTGAGCAGTTAATGTAAGGTCTGTATACGCTTCATGAAACTATTCTTTGCGATTGTCAGACTGCATGCCAGGTGTAACAGAGAAACGGCAACCGGGTCGCTTGCTTGAATTCTTCACGACTTTAATGACGTAAATGGTCATATGGATCCTAGCAAAAGTTTACAACCGTAAAACAAAAAATCAGTACACTAAACGCGAATAAAAACGGATGGTACAAAAAATTGGGTTAAACTGAAACTAGCGTTGACGTGAAAAACTGAGAAACAGTATAATAAACTGAGGCAAAAACACAGTTAAGCATCAAGTTGGGTAAAATCCAAAAAGAAAAGTAATCTACCGAAGGTAATGTTCAGGACAGATTGTTTAGATCAAAAATGGCAAGTGACGATAGGACTCAACTTCCGGTTCGTAAAGTTATTTACTCGTCAAGATCTGTGTCTGGGTAGGAGGATAGATTTTTTGATCGTAAAAATTTGTGGTTCTTGTTACATTCATTTTGAAACTGTGTGGTCTCAAGTATTTTGAATGTTTTAACATTGAAGTTTATCAACTAATGGCAATGTTTATCACATGTTCATGGTTATGTTTGGCTGCATACTGTAACTCTTGTGAAAGACCAAATAATATCTTTAAAAGTCATAAGTAACACCGCACTAAATCATAAGGAAGGTATTCTTCTGAATCTCAATGAACATTTACGATTTGTAGTGCTTTCTGTAAAACACGAAAAATATACAGGTAGGCCGTCAATTTTTCACTCTTACTTTAAGCAAAAAATGGTCAACTCATTTATCTTATCAGTAAAAACATTCTCCGACGTAATAAACATTTGAAAACAGACCTTGACTCATTCACCTCCTGAATCACTTTGGTTTTTTTAAAGTGCATTTACAAGCGGAAAATTTTCAATAGCTACCACCCTAATACCGGATTAATAGTACGAATCTATCTCACCAAATTAATATTTCAAGATCAAGATCCCTCAAGCCATTTACTTCACAACAACGAGCATCCCAGTGTGGTCTAATCAATCAATACTTGCTTCGTTTTCGTGATACAGAATATTAAGGCGAGTAAGACACATCTATCACAGTTAATTTGAATGGTCAACTAATTCACTTTGGTGGCTTAAATCATTTGAAAATGTAACCAGTAAAGATTGAGCGATTTAAAGACACCTACATTAGTAAACACTAGAGGTTATTTACTTCCTGTTTTACTATTAGATCACTTGACACAAAAATGTGCCTTTTCATTTATATTCGACTTTTCACGAGACGACAGCTTCTTTGTCCAAGTTCCACAGTTTAAACATCTGGGAACATCAAAGGGTGCAGAATTAAACTGAATAAGCTATATAATATCTGTAAGAACAACCAAAGTTGATGTTTTATGATGATGTGATTTGGTAACAGGGAATTAAACTGTTTAAGAAATATAACCTCATACCCCATAACATAGGTCTTAAGACGATATAACCATAAACTTTGGATTTACAAAATATTTCATTCGAAATTCAATGCTTGAAGTTAATTTTTTTAGTTTCCATTGTAGCGTTCAACAGAGATAGATGTCATAGATCTTATTATTCCAGTCCTGCATAAATGAATGTGAAATCTTGGTTCGAACTAGATGAATATACAAAAAATGGTGATTAGTTATTTGCTGCTAGTATTATCTGACTCCATGTAATATATAGTAACCTGATTCCTGATTATTTCTTAAACTTGATCATGAAATACCAAAACCAATTGAGGACATAGCTAAATAAACCCAAACTTGTGAGGTATTCGTGAATTATGCTTCAAGTTGACAGAATGAATAACCAAACTTAAATCAGATGTGAGAAAACCTAAAAAATTTTAAAAATATACTGTATATGCTCTCTGTCATTCTTGTTACGGACAAAAAAACTGAAATGTACGATTGTTAAAAATTCAGAGATACATTCAGTAAAATATACAAAACAGCTTCTATAGACCCAGCTGTTCAGAGGTGATATTGATTTGTACTTTTATCACCCGATTTCAATCATTCACGAT